GCAAAAAAAATAACTGTAAAAATATATTGCAACCGCACAGCAGCCAAAAAAAAAAAAAAAAAAAACTTTTTTTTTTTTTTTTAATGGATGGATTGTGTCATGTTTATGGGGACAGCCTTCAAAAGGTTGAAATTGGAATTGCTCTTCTGGATGTCAAAGGGATTTTCATGGCGCAATCATATCCTACACAATATGTACTCTACAACATCTGGGTTACATAGGAAATGCACCCTGAGGTTTTAATAAGAAGAAGCCCCTATGGCTAAAACTTTAAATAAACTAAACCAAAAATGTTATTGATGTTTTATATATAGAGAGTAGTCGCATTAGTTTTTGTTACTGTACTGTTTGAGGTCTCAACTGTACCGTATCACGGTAATAACATGGTTTTGAAACCTTTTTTTTATTTTGTCACAGACCTGTTGTCATAGTTGAAATGACGTTTATTGTAGATGGTATTTGAACAACTTCTGGAAATAGTTCATCAAGTATGTTTGTTGCTCATTGTTGTGATACATTAAAAACTGTATCTGCAAACCAGTTCCGTCTCCCTACATACTTATTTCAGCAAAACCAACGTTTCAGCCACCGGCTCTCTTTCATTGGACTGGATCTATAGAAATTGTTTGATATTTTATTTATGTGGCTGTTTTGTGCTGTTTCTGCTAGTTTTCTGTCAAGTAAGTGTAACCTGGCAATTTTTATAGGGATATATTTAGGTTTTTGAATTTGAAAAGTGTCTGCTCCCTGGTGAGATAAAGCATATTTATGTTAATGAAACTGTTAACTTTTGTGTTTTTATGACTGCATCTAAATAATTTGGAACAAATTTCCCTTTCAGCTAAATTACCTCTTACAAATCTTCAAATCTTTTTTTTTTTTAAATCAAATATTTGTCTTGCATAGGTTGAAGCCTATTTAATTTGTTATATGATTTTTTTTTTTATGTTTCCATGAGTCATTGTGGAGACACTTATCCTATTCTGAGACACTTTCTTAATCTCAGTGATATACTATATAATTCTTGAATGATATTTCTCACCAAAACATTCCTCCTAAAATGGACTCAAAGTTACACAAGTGACTGTTTCAAGATAAATGTTTAAGACCTTAATGAATCTGGAGAACTGCATATGAAAATCAACTAAAAATGTGTCATGCTCTAAGAAAATATGCTAAAATTAAAGTTATACAGCATAATTCTACAAGCTGGCTTGTTTTAAGGGGAGTTTCGAGTGTAAAGATGTTCGAAGTAAACCAAGCTAAAGATTTATTGATGTTACAAACAAGAGGACCTGTTGGTGATTAGTGTTTCAGACTGAAAATCCAATGGAAGGCAATTTTATTTTATTATGAGAGCAAGACGTTGCACTGTCTTTAAACTCTAAGATTTGTTTGTACCGGCTGCAGTGAAAGGGAAAATGCTCTCCTTACTCTACGGTAAGTCTGAACAGTGCAGTGTCGGTGCTTAAAAAAAAAAAAAAACATAATTCAGAAACTGCATTAATACGTTTAAGGCATTTAGAATGGCAACCTTACTTGTGTGTGTGGGTGTGTGTGTGTGTGTGTTCCTTTTTATTTTCACTGATTTCCTCATTTTATTTGGATTATCTGCAAGGGATTATCTGTCACTCTAGCTTTTTTTCAGATTTGCTTCTCCACTTCTGCATATTGTCATGCTGCATTATCAGATTTTGGCCAATCTTTAGTCATAAAACAGAACAAGCTGAAATCATCGGCCTTCGGTCGCTGGGCTCAACGGTTAGCAGTCCATGTACAGTGTTTGAAGTAAACCAGAGTATTTATCATTCAGTCACATCACGATGTATAAAACATTATAACTGAGAGGGTGTGCTTTCAACTTTATAGGATTTTAATTTTATATTGCTTTTTCAATTTAGTTGTGTAACGTGCCCAAGTGTTCTTCGGCTTTTGTTTTTTACCATTCTATATATGTTTACCATGCCAACATGGTAAGGGACTCTCTATCGACCATTATTCGAAATTATCTAACAGTTGCTTCCTTTCTCTGGGCTAGACATAAGCAAATACTATGGATTTTTGCTTGCAAGCTGATTCTGATCAGTTACAGCTCCTGACTCCACATAGAAGAGTGGGGGAAAATAAAAAATAATAAAAAAAATCCGCCATGATTAATGGCAGTCATAGATTAACAGATGTACAGCCACAGCAGACAGCATTGAGCATTTTTCATTACTTGAAATTGGTGAAAGGACATAATATTTTTACCCTAGATTTCCTATTTGATAGATCGATGGACAGCTATATGAGAAATTGCTTCATGTCCCGACTTTATATCGCTTTTAGAATTCTATTAGGAGGCAAAATGGATGCTAGTGTCAGGCAAGAGGGTGACTTTTTAGATGTGAGGTCAACAGAGGCTGTCACATTAAAAATTGCACCTCAGGAAAACCTTAACGCAATATATCACACCCTGCCAGCGAGACGTGTCCGCCACTGGTGTCAGGGTCACGGAGAAAGCCGACATTCACAAGTTGTTAAATCCACCTAATGAAATTTCACAAGGGCAACAAAAATAAAAAGGGAGGATGAGGTTCCTTTCACTCGGAAGGCATGGTGGATCTTATTGGGCCTGAAAGCTTTGGTGTGTGGCAGCAATGAAAATTCAACAACACGTAAAAAGTCTCAGAAATGGCATTTTTCTCCCCCCTCTTCTGTATTCACCTTTTGCCCTTGACGAATGTGCTTGAAACACAGGGTGCAACTGTTCTGCTGAATGGCCCTTTCCTGTTGCTCTCCCCCTAAAATGTGGGCAGTTGCCAGGTTAGCCCACCCCTCTTTCGTATTATGGGATTGAATTGCGATTGACCTTTGTGGAGAACAATCGCTGAAGGCTTTTCATTTTTCTGCCCTTCTCAGCGCCTAGAAGAAGGACCTCTTTACACTCTGTTTTTTCCTGTGGTCTGCCAGGATTTTGAGCACTATCTGGTTTGTGTTTTTGTATGCAAAACAGCATAATTTTGTCTTATTTAAACTAAAGAAATTTAAGAAAATGAAACTTTCTAATAGAGCTTTCAGAAGTTGACAGCTGTACTGCAGTGTGGGCTACGAACCCCTGAATAAGAAAGAGTATTTCATAATTTGGGCACAGCATTGCTAGAGAGGCCACTGCAGTGAGCGATCTTGCCCTGAATACACGATAAAAGGTTTACTGTAAATTCTAAATGGCGATTTTTGCTACCCATACATCACTTATGACCATTAGATTCCACCCTCTCACTACAGCGCAGCTTCCTGGGAGCAGCTTTCCAGATGATACAGTACAGAAGCTGCAGTGGAGGCATATTTGGCTTTGAATAGCCTGCAGCCAATGGATTTTCTCTGGATAATACAATGTTTGGGACGGAGAGGCAGGGATTAGTCCAGACGGATACATCCACCACCATCACTCCCCTCACCCCCACCCTCCTTCACACACACGCACGCACACACACACACACACACACGCATACACATACCCAATCTAATTAGACTGGAATCAGTTTAAGATGAAAGCAAGCCCTAGCATCACCGCACTAAATACTGGAATTAGTATTCCCCGCATGGGAATTTAATGATGGAGACCGAAAATCCAATCACATTCACTCTCAGTTTAGCCCCTCATGCATTGGGTCTGGACAATGACGACACGGAAAACAACAACAACAATGATTTGTTTGTCAATAGATATTGACCAGCATCACATCTGAGGCCACTCCTGTATTGGCATAACTATGTTGTCGTCATTTAACAAGGATAAACAGTTAATAATCAGATGTTCAGACAGTCTGTTTCAAATGAACTCCACTGTGACATTCCGACTTCTGCTGGGGTCATAACAGAGTCGGATGCTGATAAATGAAAATGGAGAATGTTTCAGGGTGTGTCCACTGTCTTGTTTGCTTGTTTAATAAAATGTCTGAAGCGTTAAATTATGACGGTAGAGTCCAAATTAATATCGGATGTGAAACTATGCTCAGGAACAATGTCTGTTTTGTACTTCATACATATCAAATCTCATATCAGTCATTTTTCAAGGATTAATTATACACAGAGTGTTGTAGTTTCTGTTTTTAATTTCGTTGATTTCAATCATTGTAGCTTACGGCTAATAAAAAAAAAAAAAACCAAATACAGCTTCTCAGAAATTTATTATGGTTTATTCAAACAATAAAAAATGAAATGCTAAGGGAAAGGCTGCTGACTTTAAAGTTGTTAATCAGAGAGTCATTAATACCATTCACAAGGGGGTTATTAAGCTTCTTACTGAAGAAGCTGGTTTTGCCCAGAATGTTGTACCCAAGCATAAATGGCTCTGTGGAAGGAAAAGGACAATGAGAAAAAGTGGTATGCCAGTAACTGGGGATAATGGTGCATTTTTTGCACCTGAAGGTCAGATTTTCCAAGCTCCCAGTTCCCAGAAAACCAACAAACAACCCCTGAAGTCAGATTGGGAAATTCAAGATTCACTGAGCAACACAGAGCTTTGCATGCAACATGAGTGTGATCATAAAGAATGAAGTTAGACATAAACTGCTGTAAAATATCTACTTGTGAATATGCTTATTTTGTTTCAGTATATAACATTTGGAAACAAATATTTTGTATTCATAGTTATTGGCACCAAAACTGATAGGAACTTTTTCTGCTTTTCCATTTGCAACTAGGATGTGCTCAGTTTGGGTGTGAAGTCATGCCAGGCACTAAGCACAGCAGTAGTCTTGACAGGATTATGAATAAATATACAAAGTATTATCAAGATAAACAATGTAGATGAGCTGAATGTCCCAATTAAAGTAGCTATGGATTCCTTAGTGCTTCAGCAGATCCACAGGTGGATTGCCTCCATGCCATGCTGCACTGATGCAGGAATTCACACAGAAAGAGTCCAAAATAACCATTTACTGTAGCACAGTACATTTGCATGCTTTTCAGTTTACTGACATTAACTCTTGTAATTTTTTTTAAAATTCATCTTATGTAATATTATTGTTTTTGATTAACAGAAATTGGTTGTTCCTTCACCTTCATTTGCAGAAATGACAACTTCAAACATATTACTTTGTGTTTAATGACTATATCCCATAATAGAATGTAGTTACTGAAATAAGTTCACTTTTCATTGATAACTAATTCAGTGCATTTCTTGCCTTTTAGAAGCACTTCCCATATTAAACAGTCTGGTTTTGACATTAAAACTTTGGTGGCTGCATGCAGAAGCTGTCAAACATCTGCAGAGTATAGAGCATTAGGTAGCAACTATTATTTTACAAACTTTGAATGCAGATTTGCTTCTAAAATAGAGCAACTATTTACACGCTACATGCCCACCGTCTCTTGAATTTGCCCTTGTTTTTTTGTTTTTTTTTTCACGGCTAAGTATATGAAGCCAAGGGAACTCTATATTAAAACCACTAAAATGCGAGCCATACTTCAGCGTCAGGTTGGTGATTAACGGCATAGACTGGAAATAACTCCTGCACCTGGGTTCCATCAAGCACACAATATTCCCTA